TGTTAGGTGGGAGGTTGGAATTGATTAACTCCAAGTTCTGTCTACTCTCGAATTCTGTACTTTTAGGTGTAATCCAAGCTTCTTTGTTCACTGCTTTTAGCTAGCACACAGGCTTTATACTTATCTAACATTTACGGCTTTGAGAAGAGCACTATTTTGTAACTTTCGTATTGTATAGGAAAAATTTATTCATTGATTGGCTTGTGTACTCTGGCCATTTTTTGGAAAAGAATTTAGGACACTTGAAATAAAAACAAGCAGTAAGACCAAAACTAATGATCAGAAACATAAGAACCAATAAGTGAAAGAGGAAAAGAAAGAGAACAGTTACCTATAACTTTGAGGAAAGCTTTAGTATTTGTGCATGATACTTACCTCTGAGTTTTCTAGCAGTGAAGGCAATAAGGGCACCTGAGAGTTTGCATAGATCTCATTGCCAGTTATTGAGAATTCATGAGGACACTGCCATCGTCCTTAATAATGTGGAGCCCCAGACACGAAGATTGCAATGAGAGGAGACTCTCCAAGTGGTAAAAGGTTCCTGGACCTGGCAGGCCTGATTCTTGTTTTTTCACCTTGGAATCTGTAACGTGTTTTGAGGGTTTGGTTTAGTACTGCCGCTACCATATTTCTTCTCCATTAAAGGCTCTGATCCAAGTAGGAACACACTAGTCTTACCCTACTGCCAACAGAACAGCTGATGGAAGGCTGGAACGTTTAAATCAAGCTTTGCTTAAAGCTAGAGGATAATGAGTAGAGAGCAACATGAAACTATTCAACCTGGCTTTACAAAGACGTTTTCTTCATGTCCATATCTTTTGGCCTGTCTCCATTTATCAGACATCATCTGGGTACTGCAACCAAAGGTGAACAGAGCCAGACATTTACCTTTCTTCAAACAAGCCCAAGACAGCAGGGTCTAGAGGGTCTTTGCTTGGGTTTCTTGTTTGAAAAACTGCCTCCTTTGTGGGTGAGGGATGTTAGAAATGACCTCCTTTAGGGGAGACCACACTTACTTAGAGAGCGTGGCCCTACATAAGTGGGTTGCATGGTAACCCCAATATTTATATAAAATATATCCACATATGTTACCATAAAGGACATTCTTTGGTTAGAGATATGCTGATTCAACTGGGAAAAACAAGTTTCTCCCTGCTCTTGAGCAGAATCTATTATAGAATTCTTCGTATAAGGACCACTGGGAAATAAAGTGAAGAATTTGGTTTTATTCTCCATGACTTGAGTGGATTCACTTTCTTATCCTGTAGTTACTGAGCTACTTTAGGCCTATTCCGGTGTTTCCTAGTCTAACCAACAGGGCTGACCCTCTTTATTTTTGTTCACTCGCTTCAGAGTAACCGTTCCATCTAGATTTTCTAGGTGTGAACCTCACTGATTACATAATAGTGTGTATTTATAGTTCTAGGACACCTTGTGCAAGCATCCTGTTACATTTCTACAATATAAGATCTTTAAATATACATTGAAATACAAATAGTTCTCACAGATGAAAGCGAAAACAAATGGCTTTTCCTACTGGAAATGAGGACTGATACACATACTTGGAAGCACTGAACATGGAGGAGATAGTTAAACCTAAAGAGGAATATAAAGATAGAAAAGCAGTAACTGTAGTTTTTCATTTATACCAACACAATATATGTATGGAGCTCTTTTTTCCTTGATGTATTCATTTCCAAATGGAACCATAATGTGCTCTAATTGAGTCTCTTTGTTTAGCACATGGCTGTTGATTTGAGTACTTTCTGCAGTTGAAAAACTGACATTATAATTTTGTTATTCAGTGTGCAACAGATTTAAATAAAAACACCAAGATTGTGTATTGTAGATTTCTTTCAACAATAATTATATGTAATTATTTTACCAAAATAAACAAGTTGAAGTAGTTTTAGCTATTTTATCTCATTCCACATTTTGAAAAAAAATTACAAACCAGGGGCCAGAGTTTGCTCATGTTTCTCAATGAGGAAAGATAATTTCTGATTGCTAGTTCCATCTAGTTCCACCAAAGCAGTGTGAAATTGGTGCTAGTGAAGAGTACTGAAGATGTAGAAGCGAGGTGCAACTGGAGAGGGGCTGCATGCTACTAAAATCAGTTGATAGTTTTCATAAAATGAGGTATCTCAAAAATTTTAAGGGACCTATAAAGATTAAATGAGCTTGTGCACATAACACTTGTGGCAAGCTTCCCGGCATATAGAAAACATGAAGTAAATGATAATTGTTATTAAGAAAATTGTTTTTCATAGCATCATTGAATTGTTAGGCTAGAAAGGACCGTAACTAAGGGGGACATGAATATCATTTTGTCTGGCTTTATATAAAAATGAGGAAACGGGCTCAGAAGTTACATGACATTTCAGGATAGTAGGGATATTTTCAGGATCATTCAGCTAATGACTGAACAGGAATCTGGCTTCCTCCTCACTTAGAACTTCATTTAGTATCCCTTTTCTGATTCAAGCCTTTTTTAGGGAGAATGATTTTCTTTTTAATTGCCTAAATTTATGAAAGATCTCAAATCAGACCCCTAACAGATAGACACATAGATAGGTAAATAATGATAAAGTCAATATAGCAAAATAGTAACAATTATAGAATTTAGGTGATGGGCGTATAGGTATTCACAGTTCTATCAGTTTTTCCGAATGCTTGAAATGTTCATAATAAAATGTTGGAGGAGGAAATTGAAAAAAAAACTATAATATCTTCTCACCCCAGATGTGTTTCTGTTACTGATCTCTAAACACAGACAAACCAGCAGTACTTGGTATAGCCAAAGGAAATAAAACCACCGAAGGTCCAGAACCCTTGGAAATGCACATTCTAGGCCCTTTCCTGACATTTACCAGGGATTGAGAACCACAGGGTTGTCTTGACTTTTCTTTTTCTTTCTTTTCTCTCTCCTTTTATCTTCTTAAATTACAAATGATAGTTGTGCATTGCAGATTTGAAATTCCCTAACCCACCAGCAAACAAGCCAATTAGCACAATTAGCACTGTAGATCACTTTCCTGTGAGCCAGTGCTCTATTTTTTTTTCTTTCCATTGTTTTGCTTTTTATTTTCCCATGGTAAATTTTACTTTTGTTCTCTCCTTATACTTAATCTATTTAATAAGCTTGAGTCTTTCTGTTCTCACATAGTCTTTCTCCCCAAGATCACACTTTGTTTTTTTCACCTTACCCTTAAAGAAAAAAAGCCACATATTCTTTTAGCTAGGGCCTTTCCACTCTTTCTCATCTATCCTTTAAGTTTCGTCAGATCCAGCCTCCCCTTGCCTTGTGATGGGAGAAGGAGATAAACTGAGTTTTAGGAGCCAGGCAGAAACCTCAGGGGATACTCTTTAAGGTCCACCAGACTCAGAATTAGCTGTGCATTGCAAACAGATGGTGTGCCCTAAGGAAATAGTTGCCCTGAGCGATTGGGTGCTTGTATCTAATTTAGCTCAGAGATCCTGGGACTGGGAAAAAAGTCTCATGGAGCAAATGAGTATAATCACTTATGAACTATTCTAAACCATAGCTAGGGCCTAGTAGTTATTGACTTGTGTACAGATGTCATAATTCCATGCTGAATATACTTATCCTACATAATTCTATATGGAATAATTCTGTGCTGTACCTTCAGTTCTTTGAAACATAAGTAATATCAAGCCTTGGCAGACCCTTATCTTTTAATAACCAACCCCTTACTAGAGGCTTTCTTCAGTAACATAATGCCAGGATCAATGCTACCAGCAATTCGAAACCTATATTCCTAATGTTAAATCTCTAGATATCTATATTTTGAGGTCTGAAAATTTTATTAAGTTCTTTACAATGCATCCCAATCCCCAGTTTTTATATATATATAGTTTAGTCTTAAAGGGTAAGCGTTCTTGAAAGGAGTTGAGACAACGCTAGATGCTTGATTTCTCCTGCTCCCAAGGGAGGCCATGGATTCAATGGTTAGAAATTTTGTAAAATATTTTAAGAATACTATGAAAATATATTATAAAATATTATAAAAGCCCCTCTAGTTTGGCTGGGCTTTTCTGTCCTTGCTTGGTTTAATTCAGCTATGTTCTTCTAGATGGCTGCAACTAGAATCGAACTGCTTGTTTTGACGTTTTGTTTGACAAGGAAAATGAACATTTCAGACTAGGGGAGGCAAGAAAATTAAAGCTTGTATAACAATATTTGTATTTCATCAGGTCTCCGAGATTTCTAACAGTATCTATCATCCATCTTATGGCTAAATGTAGTCATTTTTACTTCGTTCTGCAAAGGGGTGAGAGTGCATAAAGCTAAATACCAGGTGACTCAGCCAAGAGTAGAAAGTGTGACTGCTTCTGTGGAGCAGGAAATAGGAGGTGTTGAGTGTCGGGGAGCTGCTACCTCTGTGTGTCTGTGTGCATATGTGTGTAAGTGTAACAGTCTTGTAGATCTATTTGACACCTTAAACTCTGTTCATACATAACTTTGTTAAAAATAAAATCTAAGTTAAAAAATTGTAAATATATGGCAGTTGTAAGTTCATGAATGCTTGGTAAATATGAAAGGTTGAATTCCCTTTTGACAGATTCTTACATTGGGTTAATACACACAGGCCTACAAATCTAGCTTTTTTTTTTTTTTTTTAAGAGACACTTAAATTAACATCAAAAAGTTGAAAATAGTGGAATAGAAAAAGGCAGATCTGACAAAAACAAAAAGATAGCTGTGATAAGATTAATACCTGACAAAATAAAATTCAAGCTACAAAAGCATGGAAGGGAAGAGGTGTATTTTATATTGATAAAAGAGGTACCATTTCTCAAGACATGCCATGAATTTTTATGCAACTAATAATAAAATAGTGTCAAAATATATAAAGCCAAATTGTTAAAAATACAAAAAGAAATGGATAAATTCACTGTTTATAGATTAAGAAAGCAATATTTGAATAACAAAGATTTAATGTATTTCAGTTTTGCAATCATGAACACTATTTTTTAAAAATTACTTCTGGAGTTTTCTAGGAAATTGATAATATGGAGATCTAGAAAGAACATCCAAATTAAAAATTAACGACTAAAGAAGAAGAAGAAGAGGAGGTGGAAGAAGAAGAGGAGAAAGAAGCAGCAGCTGCCAAAATACTATATCTACTTGGAAATAATATTTTTCTAAATAATTCCTGGGTTGAAGAAGTTACAATTATAATTACACATCATTTAGAAATGAACAAGAGTCCTACATATCAAAAACTAGTGGAGTTTTGCTAAAGCAGTACCCAAAGGAAAATTTGAAAGCAGGAAGATTGCAAATCAAGCTAGAGGAAGAATAAGTAAGTAAACACAAAGAAAATAAGGATTTAGGAAAAATTTTTTTGATCCATAAAACCCCAAATTGGTTATATGTAAACACATTATTAAAGCAGACAAATATTTGGTAAATCTAAAAAGGAAAAGACATCAGTGGAAAAATGGCAGAGGAGAATGGTGTCTTTTTTATTAATTTTAAGATATTTTAATGTAGTCCAACTTCAGTTTTTTTTTTAAGGTTAGTGCTTTTCGAATCCCATTTGATTAATGTTTGAAATGTTTTTCTCTGTTTTCATCTAAAAGCCTTCTTTTACCTTTCCATTGAAATGTATAGTCAGTCTGGAGTTGATTTTTGATTATGGTATGAAATGGGTTTTTTTTTTTTCCCGTTTTTAAATAGTATGTTTGCCCAGTTGATCCGGCACTATTTGTTGGTAATACCTTCCTTATCCCAGTGCCCTACAGTGTCACCTTTATCATAAGTAGAGGTACATATGAGGGTCTCTGTTCTGTTGGTCTGTTTGCCAATACTACACTGTCTTTAATTATTACTATTTTATGGTGTGTCTTACTATCTAGTAGCATAGGTCTCCCAAAAGCATTGTCTCCCAAGATTGCTTTGGCTGTTCTTAGGACGTTTTTATCTGCTTCTTAATTTACACACACACCACACACACACACACACACACACACACAAATAGTAGGATTTTTTATTTGATTTTGTTGAAACTACAGATAACTGCAGAATTTTGACATCTTTACAGTATTGAATCTTCTAGTGTGGAGGCTGACATGTTCCTCTATTTATAAATAAGTAAATTTTATTTTATATCCTTTAAAATGTCTATCAAATAAGTAAGGCTTTGAAATTTTCTCTGTGGAGGTCTTACATGCCTTTGTTGAATTTATTCCTAGGTCTTTGATTTTTTTTATGCTTCTATAAATGATGTACTTTTAAATTGTTGTTTTCTGTTTATTGTTGGTTTAAGAAAAGCTGATGACTTTTTTGTATAGTGACTTTTTTGTTTTATGAGTAGGTGTTTAATTTTATCAAATATTTTGTTTACATCAAGATGATTATATGATTTATTAGCATTTTCCTAAACTACCTTTCTTATTCCTGACTCTATGTATAGTATCTTTGTATGTCATCTCCCTGGAATGACCTTCCTTAAACCTTAGTTTCGTGTTAATTTTTGAGAGAAATCTCCCTTTTCTGTGCTCTCTCTGCACTTTGTATACATTACCCTTTATCAGTGGCATGTTTGTTTTCTGCATTACGTCGTGAATTTCTTGAGACTAGGAATCTGGTACTAATCATCTCTGTCCTCTTAAAGGTATATTCTTTCATACACGTTCTGCACTATGTAGATTTTGACTTAATACATCTCAGGAGGGTTAGTCTACATTTGTACATAGAAAATATCATCATGGTTTTTGGTAGCTATATGGTCTTCCATTTTATAATATCATGTTATTATATCAGTTTTATTAATTAGATGCATAGGAAAAATTAGAAACAATCTTATGTAAACTATTAGGAAATTAATAGCCATGTATGTAAGCCACTTTATAGATATACAAGTATAGGCTACATTCCATTCCTTCTGGGGCAGAGGGTAATTAATGTTCATTTGTAATTTTGAAAGTGTAGGGCTGCCCCTCCATTTATCCGGAGAGACGGGATTCTAAACAATGGGATATTTTACATCAGATAGGCTTGAGGGAGGTACCTAAGTGGGAATTTTGGAAAGTTGAAAGGAGAGCACTGGGAGACAGGAAAAGAACTTTAAAAATGAAAATAATAAAAGGTAAAAGAAACTGTTTGCTTGGTTATTTTATTGAGGACCTGGTGGTAGCAACCACTCATATGCTAAAGAGCTATTTCTTGGACCTGTAGTCGAGAAACACAAACTGGATCTCCTGTGTGCCAGGACCTAGAGATGCAGAAATGCATGAAGCACTAACCCAGTTCCTGAGCTGAGGAAGTTCACAGCTTAATGAAGAAAATAGATAAATAATTAGAAAATGAGGTGCTGTGCTGTAATTGTTTGTACTTTTAAGATGTTAATTTAAGTTGAATTTGACAAAAAATGAAAACGTGATGTTAGTGTTTGTTGTAACTTATAAAATAACAATATTACTATTTAAAGGAGTGTAGGGTTTTGTTTTCCAAATTTCAGTTCTTTTCCATTTATTGAAAATTTTCCTAAAATGTACTCAGATTATATTTTGAAGAAAATTCATGTTTTGAAGACAAAATAAGGCTTGAAATTATGTCATGCTTAATTTTCTTTTTATCTTTCCTTCCCAATCTTTTTTTAATTAAGTTTATTAGGGTAACATTGGTTAATACAATTATATAATTTTCAGGTGTACATTATCATTTAACATCTGTATATTCTATTGTGTGTTTACTACCCAAAGCCCAGTTTCCTTCAGCTACCATATATTTGATCCCCTTTACCCACTTCACCCTCCCCCTAACCCCCTATATTTGATCCTCTTTACCCCATCTACCATCCGCCTCCTCCCTAACCCCCTACCCTCTGGTAACCACTAGTCTATAGTCCATGTCCATGAATCTCTGTTTGTCCTGTTCCTTTGTTGCTTTTAGGTTTATATCCCACATATAAGTGATATCATGTGATTTTCAACTTTTTCAGTCTGGCTTATTTCGCTTAGCATGAGTATCTCGAGTTCCATCCATGTTGTCACAAATGGCTAAATTTCATCTCTTCTTATGGCTGAGTAATATTCCATTGTATGTATGTACCACAGCTTCTTTAGCCAATCATCTGTCGTAAGACACTTCGGTTGCTTCCATGTCCCGGCCACTGTGAATAATGCTGCTATGAACATTGGTGTGCAGATATCTTTATGGATATGATTTTTAAGTCTTTGGAGTAAATACCCGGTAAAGGGATTGCTGGATCATATGGTAGATCAATTCTTAGTTTTTTGAGGAAGCTCCATACTATTTTCCTTAGTGGCTGTACCAATTTGCAGTCCCACCAACAGTGTATGAGGGTTCCTTTTTCTCTGCATCCTCTCCAGCATTTATTACTTGTCCGGTTGATTCTAGTCATTCTAACAGGTGTGAGATGGTATCTCATTGTGGTTTTGATTTGCATTTCTCTAATAGCTAGTGACGTTGAACATCTTTTCATATGTTTGTTGACCATTTGTATATCCTCTAGGGAGAAGTGTCTGTTGAGATCCTTTGCCCATTTTTTTTATTGGATCGTTTGTTTTAGGAGTGTAGGGTTTTAGACCAATCTTTTATTTAGTGCAAGAGATCCCTACTTTATGAACTCTGACTTTGTCATTAAGCTTCTGCTTAAATATCTGTAATGACAAAGTCATAACCTTCTAAGACAGCCAGTTTCATTGTGGGGAAGGTCTGTAGTTAGGAAATGATTTCTTATGAAACAAAATTAAAACATCCTGACCTTATGATTTGATTTAGTATAGGAGTAAGATAAGTTGACTCAGTTGCAGCATCTATAAAAATGAGGTGATTGTCTCCACAGCTAAGGTACCTTTCAGATCAAACTTTATTGATTTAGTTCTTTGAATCTCTGACTCATATTTACATAGCAGATTGATATTCAAGTAACACTTACTGATTACTTATTATATTGGACATTTGTGGGATTTTGTGCCCAATTCTCCCTCTCTTTCTCCCATCACCATGGCTACAATTAACAGTAAATGCTGTTGACTCTTTTTAAATCTGTTGTCAAACAGATTCCCCAAATCTGCTAAGCAAATCTTTATCCTAGGCTTGTGTGGTTTATTTGATTTTGAACCTAAATGAAGGTCTGTGTATTAATTGCCCTATTGAATCTCATCTTGCCATTTAAACGGCCTATTCTTAGTGTGCTTTGCTCTGATAGCAGTTAACATTATATCAGCTAATTCAATGAAGCTGAAGAAACTAGAAAATGGAGATATTGTAGAAAAACAAGTGAATGAGAACTTAGAGATGCCTCCATTCTCCAAAGATGGAGGTATATGTTAAATTATAAATGATGCTTTTTAAAATACTTTAAAGGTAGCAGAAGTAAGTGAAATTTATCTGGAGAAATGTCTAGATAAATCATGGTATTTTGATAAGCTCCCTTTGACGTTGTTGCTTCAGGGTGATAACCCAAGGAGGCGGAATTAAGAACCAGTGAGTCCTCGGAGGAACAAAACCAGGGCTGGAGGGAGTTGGTGGTCAGGATGTTAGCCTTGTTCAAAGGTATGCAGCATGTTTTTTAAAAAAGAAGAAGAGAACCTTCTTTTCCCAGAGGTAGAAAAAATATGAAAGAGAGGACAGGCCTCCTTGAGATGGGGCATAGCATTGGGAGTGGAGAGAAGAGAGGAAGGCAGATTTCTCAGAAGAACTGGAGTGAAGGAATAGACTAGATATCTGGTAATAAGGGTTGACATTAGTACATGAAAGGATTTGTTATAACTTCTAACTTTTGCCTTCACCTTTGTCAACAGTGGTGTGATCTGTCTTTAACTATGACTAAGCAGACTGAATAAAGGGCATTATGCATATTAGGCTCAAAACCTGCCTGATGGTGCATATTTGTAATATTTAGAATTACTCTCACTGTGTAATAAAGTATAATTGTGCTATAGGCAAGGTAAAGATAAGGGTCATCACCAGCAAAGTCAGAGTGGTGAAAAGATTGGAATTTCATCTCTGGTAAGAGAAATCTTCATTCTCTTCCTTTTAAAGTGCTGAGCTATCTCATTAAGAAGGAACCTAGGAGTTCTTTCAGGGACTTTTTTTTTTTTTTTTTTTTTTAATGACAGATATCAGTAAAAGAATAATGCTGTATTGGTTTTGAAAATGTTGACTTTGCACTAGAAGGCAAGCCAAGCAGAATGTTTCCTGAAAGGCAATTAAAATATGAGTTTGTAGCACAAGTGCAAGGCCAAGAAGTTGAGATGTAGATCTGAGATGTAGCAAAGGAACTGAATGGTGCAAGTAAGTTAAGGAAGTATAGTGTCATGTAAACTAATA